AAGGTGGATTGGCAGATGAATCTTACACATTGGTGATAGTATTCACCACTAGGTTTATGAACCTATGTGGTTCATGCAACTTTGCCATAGAGGATTCAAGAGCAATTATCCATGTCTTTTAGCATATAATGTCTGAAACCATACTTTACTCTTTCCTGATACAGAAGCTTTCTTCTTGGGCATCAGCATATCTTCCCAGAATATGACATAATACCATATATAATACCAAATATGAGAGCCAGGGTGGCACAGTGGTTAGAATGCAGTACTGCAGGCTACTTCTGCTGATCACTGGCTGCCAGCAATTTGGCAGTTCGCATCTCTCCGGCTCAAGGTTGACTCAGTCTTCCAACCTTCCGAGGTCTTTTTTTTTGGGGGGGGGGGCAATATGCTGACTTTGTAAACCGCTTAGAGAGGGCTGTAAAGCCCTGTGAAGCGGTATATAAGTCTAAGTGCTATTGCTAAGTGCTGTATGTATGCATTTTCCCAGAATATGTTTTTCTGGGAAAATATTTCATTAAGCCTTGGCAGTTTTATCATCACAGAAGTACTCTCCTTCCATGTCAGAGAAATTTCTATTTCATACTGAAGAAGAATGTTTTTCTCAAGATTTTCTTAGATAAAAAACAAAGGGTTCTGCTAAATGCATGGACTACAAAACCAAAGGAGCAGATTCCCAGCAAATGTTTTGATGCAGCAAAGGAAATATAATTCAAAGCCTTCTGCAAAATTGACCGAGGTAGACAGTATATATTCTTCAAATAACTATAAGCTCAAAGGTTTGGTGTTCTGTGGAAGAAAAATGGTGAAGTATGGATCATTCTGGGTTGTCATTTATTAATACTTTTGTGTGTTTGTGCTTGGTACTTGCCTTTGAAATCATAACTAAATTATTGATGCACTGTTCACACCTATATGGGTATGCTTGATTTTTTCAATGGATAGATATTTCCTCTCCGGTGATGGAATATGATTCCCCCCCCCCCCCGAATAAACTTCTAAACCAGACTGGACATTAAAGATCTGGACATTTTGATTGATTTTTAATATAAGCTTATAATATAAAAATGGGTGTGTGTAATGTAGTGACACAAAAATATGCTTCATTAATTCATTACATTTATTTTATGCTTTCAAAATTGTAGGCTGCTTTGATGGTGTTTCTTTTTGGGAGTATAAAAAGATGTTTTATACATAAAAATCCATGCTGAAAGCAAAATGCAAATAAAGAACTAGGGCTGGAAGAGGCTTGGATCCCAAACACTTTTTTTTACTTCCTCAAACGGCTGAAACCTAAGAGTTAAATCATTATCTATACATATTTTTTTCAGTTAAGAAATGCAAACATGGCTGTTTGAAATACATAAAAGACATTTTAAACAAGTGGCTAGGAACAAAAAAAATTTCAAAAACAGTAAAGACTGTTAAGCAAATTTCTGGGTCATATTTGCATTCAAGATAACACAGTTCTTGGAAGACTGTTCATCAAAATTAATATAGGTATTTGCATTATTAAGATTTTTTAACTGAATGGGAAAGTATTAATGCAGTAACCAGCACCCTCTAGTGGAATAAATTTCCCCCTAATGTGCTCCTAACAGTTTGTGCCACAATATTTAATATATTTATTCATTTATCATCTTTAATTTGGCTCTTCATTTATTATACTGCATTTCATCTGTTGTAAATCCAATCTACCACAGTATTCAAAGTCCCTGTAGTTTCAGAAGCCAAGTGCAAGTTTGTTGCTGAACAGCAAAGAGCAATTTAAAACATGTATTTTCTGCTTGGTTATGTAGTTGAGAGCCCCATCTGGTTCAGCCGGTCATCTAACCCCAGATTTTAAGATACAAAACTTTCTCAGTTTTACATAAAGATGCCAAGAATTGAACAAGATATTTTTTTTTCTGTACAAAAAAATGTGGACTATTAACCAACTTTTAGCTCAACAATGTTTTCCAGAAATTAATTTTTGTATTTTGCAAGTGGAGGGAGTGAACCAGAGGTGGGTTCCTACCAGTTCGCACAAGTTCGGTAGAACCGGTTCGTCAAATCTACCGAACCGGTTAGAAGAGGTTCCACCGGTGGACCCGGAAATCAGGCCACATCTACAGAAGAGGTTCCAAAATTTTTTGAAACCCACCACTGACACACACACACACACACACACAAACACACACACACAGACGCACACAGAGAAAGAGAAAGAAAGGAAGAAAGAAAGAAAAAAAGAAAGAAAAAGTGAGAGATGAAAAAAAAAAAGGAAAAAGGGACAGAGACACAAAAGGAAGGAAAGAGAGAGGGGGGGGAGAGAGAGAACACATGACCAGCAAGCCACTCCCACCAGGTCACATGGCCGGCAAGCTACTCCCACAAAGGAGGCCACACCCATAGAGTAGGTTCGAAAAAATTTTGAAACCCACCACTGGAGTGAACAGTTCATTTTCAAAGTTGGCGAATAGATTCTTATTGATGCCCAAAAGGACACAACAATCCAGGTTATTGACTATATTTATTGTTCTCCAAGAACACAGACTGCCCAAGGAGAGCATCTGTCATTTCCAAATGGGCCAAATGCAAGCAGTTGGCATTTTTGTACAAGCCAGGTTCCCAAAGTTGGAATGCTTTCATCTGGCTTCATTTTAGCAAAGGCATATGCTACATGAATGAGTGCTACTTTTACAGACATATTAGCATTTCTATTTACTCTTGCTTAACAGTTCCAGGGGGAGAAGGAATTGGGCATTCATGCAGGAGGATATGCTTCCGCTAGGAAAAAGGGATTTGTTGCTCAGTAAAATGATCTGTTGCATTTAGAACAGTTCCTGCAGAGTTTTTAAAAAGGCAAACATGAAACTCCATCCCCAACTTTTGTTTAAATCAATGTCACAAAAAAACATACCATGGGTGCATTTAAAGGTTTCTTTTGTTCCTAGCAATTACATCCATATAGTCTCAGATATAGTAAACACTGAAATAGTTGCCCTAATCATCCAAAAAACTGAATGAGGAAAATGGCTAAGTGGCTAAGATAATGGCTAATTTATTTTTGCATTGCAGTCCAACACAGAAATATCTGGTTATTATTAAAATATAATTTACTTCACCTTCCTTATTTTTAGATTGGATCTCAGAAAATACCCAATTGTCTGTCAGAAATCTGGGTCACTTTTTAAAACTAGGATATTAAAGTAAGGTATTTAACTAGGCATTGACCCTTAGTCTATTTATAACTGTCTAAATAACACTGATTGTCCTTTTGCTGTTAATTCCAAATAAAATAAGAAAATAAAATACCCTTTCATAACAAATTGAAGGAAACTCACCTGGTGAATTCCTTGCAACTTGCTGTTCCAGAGGTTCTTAATATTTGAATTAGAATTACAGTAATTTCTCTCCGACCAGTGGTGGGATTCAAATTTTTTTACTACTGGTTCTGTAGGGGTGGCTTTGTGGGCGTGGTGTGGTTTGGTGGGTGTAACTTGGTGAGCATGGCAGGAGAAGGTTACTGCAAAATTCCCATTCCCTCCCCACCCCACTAACCTGCTTTCCAGCTCCGTTCTCCTGTTCAGGGCAACAAAAGAAGATCAACTGAGAGGCTGGAAGGCAGCGGGGGAGGAGCCAGCCTATTTGCCGGTTCTCCGAACTACTCAAAGTTTCCACTACTGGTTCTCCAGAACAGGTCAGAACTCGCTGAATACAACCTCTGTCTCCGACCCATATAAAAACTTTTCTGTTAAGAGGAATCTAAATTTCAGATGTGATACAAATTATGTATAGAGTTATAATCTAAACAAGATTTCCAACTTGAGTTATATTCAGTTACTTTTGAAATATGGTATTATTTTAGACATCATGGCATACTCCCAGATCTTGGCCATTCTTTTGCAGTTACATTATTCCTTTAAAATACCAAAAATCCCTATAAAAACTCTATTAAATTATCTCAAAAAGCACACACATTAACTCTGAAACTGAATGTTGCCACTGTTCTTGTATATCATTTAGATTCTAAAATAATTGAAATTGATGCAGTTTATTAAATAAATGAACAAACAAAATAACATCTTACATGAAGATTCAGTTGGATAATTTCTACCTGTTTAAAAACAATTCACTTCAAAATATAGAGGTACAATATATATAAAAACACATCAAAGGTTGGAAAGATTAGTCCCCGGTAATGCTATGTATCCATGTATTATTTTTTGTCAATCAACAATTGAAGCATCTTCTTAATCCTCATTCTATATATAATTTTATTTCTATTACATATAGAATTGTATCCCAAAAATGGGATGCAGTATGGAAGACGTTCTATTTCATATACCACCGAAGTGGGAGCAAAGTTTATTTTATATGTGGGGGTATATAAAGGAGAGAAATGTCTAACATTTTTTTCTAATTACTTGAAATGCCCATGAATATTGTTAATTGCTCAATCTGTCCTTAACATGGTTTAAACAGAAAAACAAAGCTTTTAAGACTGACATAGTAAAAAATAAAGTTGGAAATATAACAAGAAAAACTGCAACTTAAAAACCAGAGCTTGGAGACATTCTGCAGAGTAAATAACTTAAATATGAACTGAAACAATAGAAAGCCTTGAGTACAACATTGTGTGAGTTAATTCCACAGAATTAATTCATACTATGGGAAGTAGCCCTGAAGTTCCTAAACTATAAACAAGGGGCAATCACTTTTATTTCTTTAGAGATATATTTTAGTACTTTATCAAAATTGCCTAAACACTCTTGGGATAATTATTGGACAACAGTAAGTCAATCTGCAGTATAAAACCCAGTGGTGGGTTCCGGCAGAGACTACTGCCGGTTTACTCAGGGACGTGCCCTGTGCACGCGCTTGATGCACATTGCGCACACATGCGCAGTACAACTAAAATTGCTCTGTGCATGTGCAGAAGCAAAAAACAAGATGGTGGCACCTATGGCGCCGCCGGGAGAACTGGTTCAGGGGCGTGGCAGGCCTGGGTTGCTGCTGGTTCCAGCAAACCAGGCTACCAAGCTACTACTGCTTCAGCCGAACCAATTCGAACTGGTAGGAACCCACCACTGATAAAACAAAAGGATCACTATATAAAACAAATGGGTTCACAGGCAGAAATTCTGTATAAACACCAAAGATTTGATCCATGATTGCAGGCCAAGGGAAAAGGCAAGTTGTGTTTAGGGAAAATTTAACTTAAATATTGTCCACTTAATAGCATGAGAATATTTTCTCTAAAATCATAGATTTATTTGTATAGCTGTTTCTTGATTCAGTTGATTGGGCTGAACTCCATTGGAAACTATGAAGGAAAATATTTCTGAATTTAGTCTCTAAGTTGCCACTAATTCAATTTATATACAGTAAACATGTTTGTCTAATACTACAGAGAAATAGTTTTCAGTTACAATTTCAATTATTGAAATTTGTAATAAATGTACCTTTGACACATGCAGCTTTATTTTAAAACTATTTACAAACATTTCAAACAATTCATTTTCACCACAATGCAGTTAAAAACTCTCCCTCCCCCCAAAATAGCATTTTTATTAAGAAAAAAATCTATCGCAATAGTAGTCCCATAAAACAATTATTACATTTACATTTCACATATTATCACTGTTCATGTGTAGTACTTCTCATAATATTTGCTTATTGCTCCAAATATTAATCTTTAAATGCCAACAAGTTTATACCTTGTATGTTAAGGTTTATAGTGTCACAAGAACCTGTCTTAAATAGGAAGAGAATATGACAAACTTCCAAAATCTTTATGAACAAAAATACTGTACTTACCACAACATGTTTAAAGAGTTGCGTTGCAATTAAAAGGTTTCCACTAGAAACATTTGCATTAATAGACTTGACATTTACATCAAACATCAATCAAATCAGAACTTTGACAACTTTGATTGATAAAGTCATCAGTCTTTGTCCAATTCATCATTGCTTTTTCTTCTTTGGCTGCTCGTCAGGATTTAATTTGCGTTTCTTAACTGAGCTGGGTTCATCTTTTTCACCATCTTCAAAGAAGCAACAGTATATGTAAGCCAAAGTTTTCAAAAGCCACATGTGGAAAATATTATCAATAGTATCATCTTTTGATGACTATATTGGTCTGGCAGCCATGCAGTCTTATTGGCATTAATACAAAGGCAGTTCAAAGTTGTTGCCATTTCCTGGATTCCCCACCCCCTGATATGACCAAATCTAGACTACAGACCTGGGAATTTTGTAATAAACAATCATCCAAATATTAATTAGATCCAATCTTTTTTAGCCTCTTCATCGTGCAATTGCTTTTATGATTAAGAAATTACAGGAATAGAGATTAGGGAAACTTCCTTAGCCGTAACAGCAGTCCTATTATGAATTCACGGACTAATGATGATGTTTGAAAACAGATTGCTTCTTGTGGATATTCGAACTAAGCCTCCTATAACCTGGCTTACAACCTGGTGCTTTCCAGGTGTGTTAGACCAATATTTCTCAAACTTGACAACTTTAAGGCATGTAGACTTCAACTGTGGGGTTGAAGTCTACATGTCTTAATGTTGCCAAGTTTGAGAAACACTGTATTAGACTTTAATCAGATCCAGGGGCTGAGACTGGGAAAGGCTATTCCAGCACCGAGGTGGCATCAGCTTTTCAATCTTGCCCTTCTCTAAGAATTTATTGTTTAATTTAATCTTTAAATACTGTTCCTGTTTATTAAAAGCATGTTCAATTTCAAATCTTTCATCATCTTTAGACACAGGTAGATAAGGCTATTCTTAAAAGACATGAAACAACATGACTCTGTGGTCAGCAAGAAATATTATTAGTTGTTATTAAAAATTCCCTAGGAATACAGGAATTTCATCTAGGTATTGTATAAAATTGAATGCATTAATCATGCTAATCAAAATATGTGTAAGAATGTGCAAAGAAAGATTTGGACTTTCTGAATCTCACAAGAAGCTGCCATTGATTGTAGGATTAGGTTTAATACTACTATTATAACTGGATTCAAAACTATTATACATAATTCATGTAAGAGATACCAATCTTCAAATAGAGAAATATTTTCCCATTAAAGGTCTCATATACAAAAACAAACAACATTATTTATTTTGAATGAAATTGACTACTATTACCTGATTCAACAGTTTCTTGTTCTTCTTCTGGTAAGAAATGTACATTGTTTACATGCCTTGGAGCATCATCTCCATTATCTTCATAGATATTTGACCATTTGATTGCCATATCACGTTCAGGAGGAGGTGGAGGCTTTTTTTCTTTGATAGTGTAAGTGTCAGGGGGAGGCACAGCATTTGTGGTCCATGCCTTGAATTCCTTAGGAGGCTGTTGAAAGAAATATAAAAGACCAGTACAGGAAATATTAAATTTCAAAGGTATGGCTATTACAGATACAAATTGCTCTTACATCTGAAAATCTAGCCAAGCTGTAATAAACATTTAACATTTTTGCTAGTTCTATCTAGGTATACAAATAGCTTAAACAAAATATTCACTGTAAGAAGAGTACTTGCTATAAGAAAAAGTGAAAATAATAAGAAATATTAATGTAAAAAAACAATCCTAAATTCTAATAACGTAGCAGTTAACTAAGGTCACTAGAATGGAAGGCTGACGGTGGCAAGCTTTCTTTCCTAGAAATCTGGCCTTATCACATTTTTGGGAGCTGTGGTTTGTTATATCCTGTATTGATCATTGGAGCCCAGCTCCAATACGCATGCACACACACCTCCCACTAGCCAGTTGGTCTTCGGGTCTCTGCCGAGCATGTGTGGGCGGGGGGGGGGGCAGGATGCATGCACAGGAGGCACTTGCAATGTGTTTTGGGGCCTCGTGCAGCGCCCCATGCCCTGTGCAGCGCCCCATGCCCTGTGCAGCGCCCCATGTCCCGTGCAGTGCCCCATGCCCCGTACAGGCATTGCATTATGGGTGCAGGCACACGGGCATGCTATCGCGTGCGCTTTCGGCACATGACCACAAAAAGGTTAGCTTTCTGTCATATATAATTGGAAAGTTTCATATCCCATATCCCGCATAAAGTAATACTATTGAATGGAAAAGTCATTCCAATTTATTTAGCACTTTGAACTAATGAAAAATGTGTGCCACAGGGACAATTTTTTAGTGTATCCCACATTACACAGTTAACCTAGGTAGCCAGATCAAACCCTTTGGTGTTTCTGCTGCAATTGGCTAAGAAGGGACACCCTTCTCTGAAGCCTGCCTAATCCTATGGCTTTCTTAACCATCGGGGAGCCAGGCGCCTTCCCTGCCAGGAGAAATACGGAAGAGAAAAGCCTTGGCTGACCTCTTCGGGGGCTCGCAGCACCCGACTCTCCCAATCGATCTCCTTATGCAGCGGATTATAAAGGAAAGCCGGTCGGTTCACGCTGCGGAAGAGCTCGTCGGGCCCAGGCAAGCGCGGTTTGCCCTCGGAGGTGCCGTTCTTGGACTGCTGCGAAGACCCCTTGGACCCTCGGCCAGAGCCTTCCTCGTCCTCGGCATCCGAGCCGCCACTCGAGCTGTTGTCGCTACCGTACGCCGCGAAGAAGCTGAGCGGGTCTTTCCCCTCCGCTGCTGCCATGGCAGAGACTCGTGCAACCGGAACACCAGTCCTCGGGAACTGGCGCACGCGAGACAAAAGTTCCGAGTTCGTGAAGTATGCGGGAAGTTCCTTTCAGCCTGTACTACCTGCCAAGGGTAATCCGGACGGGTTCGTGCCTCCGCTCCGAAGAATTCCCTTCTTCTCGGCCAAGGGTTTATACGGGCTTAGATTTCATAAACTCTGAGTTTAATAATCCATTTATATTTTAATTTTAAAGGGAAATAATAAAGAATATTTTATCTTCTTTCCGAACCTGCAATTCGATAGTTCCGAAGCCGAGTTTATCCATGCTAAACATCGAAAAGCATCGAAACAGGGCTGTCCTATATAGGCGGCAGAAATCCGGACGACTACTAAATAAAAACAAATTTAAAATTCTTCATCGCTCCTTGTGGTTGTCCCCATTTTTGCAGGCCAGATGACAGCCCAAATCAAAAACTATGCAGTTATATTTTTCTACCTGTATCTGTAAACGTATCTGGAATGAAAAGTTCTGGCTGTGTAGTCGGTCGAGTAGAACTGAAAAAGTCCCCTTATTCCTTTACAATATTTACTAATAAGATCCTTCCATGTATGTTTTATTCAGGAGTAACACAACTTATTCAGGAGTTGTGTTGTGATTAAAGTAGGAACTGCTTAAACTTAGTCGCCTTTCATGGTTAAGATAAAATACAGAGAGCACAGCTCTATAACTGGATTAGAAGACAGAACAGAAAAGTAATAGTTTCAAAAACTATCTCTAGAATTACAATATAATATTGGTTTAGTTACTCTTACTGTAAAGCCAATAAACAAATACAAAGGAATGTGGAAGCAGCAGGGGACAATCACTGTCATGGAAGATAAAAATGGATAGCAAGCAATAAGAAAGAAATGAAAGCATTTTTTAAGATAGTTTAGAATAAGGGAGTGTATTATAAATCAGGGGTCTCTAATTCCTAGGCTGCAGACCGGTACCACTCCTTGGCCTGTTGTGAACCAGGCTGTTTAAGAAGCAAGGGATCCAAGCTTCATCTGTGCATGTGTGGGATTTACCGTATTTTTCAGAGTATAAGACACTCCAAAGTATAAGACGCACCTAGATTTTGGGGAGGAAAACAAGGGAAAAATATCTGCCTCGCCTCCCAGCAATTTGCCTCCTTGTAACAAAGAGTACAGACAATATAAAAATGTGTTAAAATGTGCTTTCTGGAAGTATAGTTATTCTCTGCTATTTAAAAGAATGGCACTTTTTAAAACAATACCACTAGGCCTCTTCAGATCAAGCATTTATTTTAAAAAGCTTCCTCATTTTGTTAAGTTGTCTAGAATAGTAATAAAGCAATCTTTAAAAAATAAGTCTAATAATTTAGCAAAATAT